CTGGACCAGACTACAGTGTGATCAAAATTTTTCAAAACCAAATCTCCATCTTGCGTGAGTTGCAAAGCAGCATGAGTTTGAACAGGAGTGTTTCTATTAGCAGACCAGACTAGTTGTGGGAATTGCAGATAAGTTGTATTCAAATTTTGGAAAATAAGGACTCCAAAGAGGCATGACCTACCATCCATTTTACAGTAGAAGCCGCACATGAACCACGGTCCATTTGTTTTTCTCAAAAGGATTGGTGTCACAAAAGCCAATTCTGTATTATTGACCATCTGACTGGGGTGATTAAGCCATGAAGTGGAAAGAGAGGCAGCTGAATTATAGTTGAGAGCTTTGACACATAAAAATTGTGACGAAGAAATTATCAGAAGGCTAGACAAGAGCATAGCTGCATGATATGGGGTGTGCTTTAAAGCCATTGCTTGCTATGTATTATGCAGATTATAGAGTAGCTTCTTAGCAAGGAAAAAGATAAAGAGTGGGACGAAATGAATGAATAAGCCCCTGCAAATATTGGTGCTGAGTGGGAAGAAATGAAATAATGAATGAATAAGCCCCTCAAAATTTTTGTGTTGAGTGGGAAGAAATGAATGAATATTACCTCAAATCTTTACTTTACAGAAGGAGCACATCACTGCTAGTTAGTCTATCTCAATCTGGACAGGAAGATAATAATCAACAGACCCATTCATCTTTCACCCCACCAAACATATGTTCTTTCCACAAGCTGGTCTACGTGAGATTTTTCCAGTAAAGAAAAGAAGTTGAATTGAAGATAACCAATTAGAAAGCGATGTCATCCGGGAAAGTCATAAGAAGTTTCTTGAAAATATTTTCTGGAAAATAAAATAAATGAACAGGTCCTAAAGCAGCCAGCTCACTTTACTTGTTAGCACCAATTAGACAACATTTTTGTTGACTTTTTTTCTAGGGATAATTGCAGAAACCTCCCCTGAGGTTTCTGACATTTGCACTGACCTCCCCTGTGGTTTGAAAAATTATACTGACCTCCCTTGAGGTTACTAATCCTTTGCAAATTTAGTCCAAACGATTAAAATATTATTTTAGGGAGTGAAATTAGAATTTTGTACCAGATTTGCCCTTTGTACTACATGTCCAATGAATGACAAAGTACTATAAATTAATTAATAATTAATAAACTTTAAGGAGTATAATTTATGAGCAAACACGCATTACTCATTTAAAATACCGGCTCTTTACGGGTATTTTACTTTTAAACATTTAATTTGTGATAAATATATCAATATTTGTAAGTAAAATTCAAAAAGTGTTACAGTAATATTCTTGTAAAAAGGAAATCGATAGGTTATTTATTTAATATAAATTAAATATTTTTTAAAAAAAAGAAATGACCCATAAAGTATTAATTTTTTATGACTTTCATCCATTACATGAGTAAAGTATTCGCTCTTTATGTGCATTTTATTCATTTAATTTATGTTAAATATATAAATGTTTGTAACTAAAATTGAAAAAGTGTTATATTAATATTTTTATAGAAGAGAGATTGATAGGTTTTGTATTTAACAAAAATTAAATATTTGAAAGTAAATACAAATCTAAATTTGAGCGTAAATATTTGTATTAAATTACATATTTGAAAGTAAAATACCCGTAAAGAACCGGTACTTTAAATAGTTACCGGCTCTTTATGGGCAAGCACACATTACTCATTTAAAGTACCGGCTTTTTACGGGTATTTTACTTTCAAATATTTAATTTATGATAAATATATCAATGTTTGTAAGTAAAATTCAAAAAGTGTTACAGTAATATTCTTGCAAAAAGGAAATCGATAGGTTATTTATTTAATATAAATTAAATATTAAAAAAAAGAAATGGCCCATAAAGTATTAATTCTTTATGACTTTCATCTATTATATGAGTAAAGTATTGGCTCTTTTTGGGCATTTTTTTCTGAATCATTTAATTTATGTTAAATACATAAATATTTGTAACGAAAATTGAAAAAGTGTTATATTAATATTTTTACGAAAGAGAGATTGGTAGTTTTTGTATTTAACAAAAATTAAATATTTGAAAGTAAATATAAATCTTTATTTGAGCGTAAATATTTGTATTAAATTAAATTTTTGAAATTAAAATACCCATAAAGAGCCGGTACTTTAAATAGGTAATGTATATTTGCCGATAAACTATACTCCTTAAAGTTTATTAATTGTTAATTGATTTGTAATACTTTGTCATTCATTGGACATGTAGTACAAAGGACAAATTTGGTAAAAAAAATTATAATTTCACTCCCTAAAACAACATTTTAATCGTTTGGACTGAATTTGCAAAGAATTAGTAACCTCAGGGGAGGTCAGTGTAATTTTTCAAACCACAAGGGAGGTCAGTATAATTTTTCAAACCACAGGAGAGGTCAGTGCAAATGTCAGAAACCTCAGGAGAGGTTTCTGCAATTATCCCTTTTTTCTATATTCTAATTAGCGTCGCTAAGTGATTAGCTTTGTTTGATTGGCAGCTCATTGACTGCTGGATCTGATGATCACTAGCCTTGTTTACTAGTTGGATTTCGCATGAAAAGAAGTTGTAAGGTGTATCTACTGTTGCTATTGAAATTATTTGTGTTTACCTTTCAAAAGAGAGTAAATATGCATTTATACTTACTAAGAAAGCAAAGAGTTTGGAGCAGACAAATAATTGTGAGTAGGGCAAAAATAAGTATCAAAATGTCTTCATTGTCTTTCCTAAAAGTAGTTCATAACAACAATTTTCATATAAAATGTATTGCATCTATTTAATGATTAATACCACATAAAATCACATAATAATAATAATAGTACAGTGATTTTTTTTTCTTTTGGAAAAAAAAATACAAGAAACCTCTTATATAAAGCAGCTCACAGACCTATAATTTTATAACTTATAAAATTTGTTGTTTTATTAAAAAACAAAATCTACTCCACTCTATTGAAAAAAGTTACGCCTGTTTTAATTTATGTTAATTCAGCAACGCAATTACTCTGTATTTTCACTTTTGTTGAAAAAAAAATCACAAAATTCATTTTTACTGATGTAGCAGGCCATTGCTTTGAATTTTGTAACATTTTATTTCCATTAAATTACAAAACTAATTGTATTTACACTTATTTCTAGGCAACGTATAATTGAAAATTTCTCAAAATTGCACGGGTCATAAAGAGGAGCACAACTAAAAATTTCTCAAAATTACTTGGGTAATAGAAGAATTATTTGGGGGCAGTGCTTTGTTTTAGCCCCTTTCCCTTCATAAGAGGAGAAACAAAAGAGACTGCTACTATTTAGAAGGAGAAAGAATAACACTTGATACTCTCCGCTCCAATTCTTGGTACAATGCTTCATAATATTCCACTGTTAGATCAATTTCGGCATGAATGAATTTAACTCGTATAAGAAAACACTGAATATGAAAGCTGGATCATTGTTCTCGGATCCCAGTTTCCTACCTTGGTCCTGACAAAACTGATGGCAGCACGGTAGTAGCAACACCATTACCTGCAGTAACTCCTGTTAATGCAATGGAGGAGTGTTAGAACCATACACTAAGTTGCTTTCAACTTCCATTGTTCCCTCCAAGACCTTAACCACATCTGACATTGAAGGCCTCATCCTGTAATCACCTTGCAGGCACCATGCAGCAGCCTTATCATAATTTCTACTACTAGGGATCCATGCAACTGCATATCTTTGTTGTCTTTATCACCGTTTTCTGCTTTTCTCTTGAAAAGACCAAGCAAATGCGCATCATCTTCAGACTGACACCTATCCAAATTCTTCCTGCCGCACAAGATTTCAGGACCATGACACCAAAACTGTAGACATCTACTTTCTCTGTAATCACGGAGCTCAACCATTCTGGAGCCATAGTGTTCCTCTCAATGTTGTTGCTACTTGGCTCTGGTCTTTGTCAATCAATTTTGACAATCCAAAATCAGATATCTTTGCACTAAAGTTCTCATCCAAAAGAGTGTTCTGGGGCTTGATGTCCAAGTGGACTATTTTCTGCTTGCATTCTTCATGAAGATACGCCAGTCCTTTTGCATCATCTAAGATGATGTCCTTTCTCAAAAGCAATCCAAGTGTGTCCTCTTTGTTTGTACAAAAAATCCATTTATCCAAGGATCCATTTTGCATATAGTCATAGACTAGAAATCTGTATGACGTTTCTGCACTGAAACCAATCAGTCTTACCAAATTGACATGGTGAATTCTCCCAGTGGTCTCAACTTCTGCTAAGAACGACTTCTTTGCAAGGCCTAATCCACCCAAGAACTTCACCGCTATTTTCTCTCCGTTTTTTAGAGTTCCTTTGTAGATGGATCCGAAGCCTCTGGCTCCAAGTTCATCACTGAAGTTATTTGTCATGGCTTTCAAATCTACATATGAGAATCTTAAGAGCATCCCTGGCACTTGATTCAAATGAACTTCATCATATTCCTGAATTTTCATGAACTTTACTAAAAGCATGAAGCAAGCCAATTTTCATGAACATGAGTAGGGTCACCAGTCAAACTTGGGCGCCAATAATGAAAGTTTATCTATTCGAGCTGATTTTAGTTCTCAACTATACATATTTCTTTCCAAGTCAATTCTTTGATAAGAATTGCTACTGGTGAGTACTATAATCCTCTCTTGGCCAACTTCGCAAAACTGCACGAAGAACGAACTTTTTATAATCTAAGTATTTCTCAAAAAACTGTCAAGAAACTTAATTTTGTTGCGACTTCCAAGTTGTCTCTGAGTAGCAGTAATCTACTGCCTCAACACCTAGAATGGATCAAATCTCATTTTGAGATCCCATTAAACCCTTATGTCAAGAATTTATTTCTGTTACTACTAAGCCACTTATACCATCAAGAATTGAAGGTAGATGTTCCCTTAAGCCAAAAAATGCAGCCAGCTGAACAGATATGATTGTACTCAAGGTAGATGTTCCCAGAATTCAAGCCTGCATCTCTCTCGCTACAGAAAATAATTGAATTTTATCTGCCAAAAAAAAAACCTAATAGAGGCATTGCCCTCATTACATAATAAGTCGCACCTGGAAAAAAAAAGGAATTTGATCCAAACAGTTAATAAATATCATCAAGAAAAGAAGACTATGGTACATTTTCTTCCTAAAAGAAATAGTCATACAAATATGGAACCTAAGAGAAGGGCCTAATCTAAGAGCATTAGGATCATCTTGGTCCAGAGAGAACAGATGGAATTAAAGCAGTGACTTCTTCTGAGCCAACTTGTGATTTGCTCGTGGAGGAGATGCTTGGTCTTTTAAAGCCATAATCCAGATTTGTTTCAGTATCCATAACACCCTCCAAGACCTTGACCACCACTGACATTGCAGGTCTACTAGCATGGTCACTCTGCAGACACCAAGCTGCAACTTGCATCATCTTCACAACATCTTCTCTATTAGACTGCATATCTTCACTATATTGATCAATCATATCCACCAACTTTCCTTCTTCTGCTTTCTGCTTGAAAAGACTAAGCAAATGCATTCGTTCCTCTGGCTCAGATCTATCGACAATTTTCCTTCCACACAAGATTTCCAGTACCACAATGTTGTGTCCTGGCAAAATCCAAGCAGGTCATTCGTCAGTTGGGCCAGGTTGGCATCCTAGCTGGAGGAGTTAGTTAGAAAGGGATCTTTTCTGTTAGCTGGACGTCTGCATACACATGAGCACAATCTTGTATAAATAACTGAAGGATGTATCGGTTTAATCAGTTTTTGGAAGATCAATTCATTCTTATTCTATTTCAGATTACATTCTTTCTCTCTCTCTCTCACTCTTCTTCCCTCTCGGATCAGATCTGTTCTATTTCTCCTCTGTCTTCTCTTAACCTTACCCTGCTCAGGAAGCTAACCACAACAGCTCCAAAGCTATAGACATCTACTTTCTCTGTAATAACTGCAGAGAGCCACTCTGGAGCCAGATAGCCAGGAGTACCTCTCATAGTGGTAACAACTTGGCTTTGGTCTCTATCAATTAGCTTGGAGAGCCCAAAGTCAGATAGCTTAGCATTGAACTTATCATCCAAAAGAATGTTTTGGGGCTTTATATCCAAATGAATAATTTTCTGTCTACAATCTTCATGGAGATAAGTTAACCCCTTGGCTATATCAAGTACTATTTTCCTCCTGCATTTCCAGTCAAGGACAATTTCTTGGCCTTGTCTATAGATCCACTTCTCTAGAGATCCATTACTCATGAATTCATAAACTAAAAGTCGGTGAGATTTTTCTGCACAAAAACCTACCAATCTTACCAAGTTAACATGATGAATGCTACCAATACTTTCCACCTCAGCCAAAAATGATTTCTTCACTTGACCAATTCCATCAAGACATTTTACTGCAACCTTAGTGCCATCTCTAAGCGAACCTTCAAAAACTGAGCCAAATCCTCCCTGCCCAAGTTTCTTACTAAAATTTGCTGTTGCAATTTTTAAATCTTCAAATGGAAATCTAGTTGGCATTCCCGGTACATTGTCTAAGTCGCCCTCCTCAACCTCCCTGGCTAATCTTTTCTTTCGGATTATACAGATTGTCAAACCAATGAGGACGGCCAATAAAATGAAAGCTGCAATAGCATATCCATTTATGACAAGAGCTGGAGTACCTTTAGGAGAAGTTTTTGCAGGAGCTGATGCATTTGGTGTGATCTGCACCTTCATGAACACAGATGAATTATAATGAGTCTTGTCCTGCTCATTGTTCATCAATGAAAAGATCTGGGCAGGTAAATAGCAATCCCCATTAGAAGAATTTGAACCATAACGGAATATAGCTGCTTTACACGAACAGTTACCTAGACATGCTTGCTTACAGCTATCCATATTGGTACTAGTAATATCTGCATTCAATGTGAAGTAAGTCATATCTTTTAGCTCAAGAAAATTATGATATCGTGAAGCATTGCAATTCAAAGGAGTGATCTCAGAACAGCCAAGATTTGGCTGCCTTCCATTTATTTGTGTAAAATAGTTCATTGAAGCATTGACTGATCTTGGACAACTGCACTGCCCATTCGAGCAGATGCCATTTTCTCCACAAACCGTGGGGTAATTGCAATCACCAAGATAACCAGTAAGAATATCAAACACCTCTTTCCACCCGTCTGCCCACTCATATAGTCTCAAATGCCCATCGGACCCCAATTTCATGTACTGAGCTGAGGAAATCTGAGGCAGGGCAATCACTGAATCCGGATCCCTTGGTTCAGAAGAATGTATATACAAGGCTAAGCTTCCGTTTTGGAACTTGGCATAGCTTGCTTCTTTATTTGCCTTTGTATTATCAACTAACTGTTGATAATAAATTTGTGGAGGATTTGCTTTTACAGAAGCAAACAAACCTTCGTTGTTAACAAAAACAGAAAACAAACCTCCTTCAGTTGAGTTGGTAATTGAAACACTAGCCGTCAACTTCTGCCCAGATACCAATTTTTGCCCTGGAACCAAAGAATCAGTAGGATGATCAAAAGATTGCCAGACCACCAAGTTATTCATATCAAAGAGAACCAGGTTTCCTTCCTCGGTCAAGTTTAAACCTACGACGGATCTTCCTGTCGTGTTTGTAGACCAAACTGAAGCCCCATCAGCATCCCGTAAAACCAAATCTCCTCCTGATGTAAGTTGCAGGGTTGCATTGATTTTGACAGGATTATTTCGATTAGCCGACCAGACAACTTGTGGAAATCCTGAGCTTGGCATGACAATGTATGAAACACTGTTAGTCTGAACAATAAAGATTGCAAACATATAGCTATCACATGTGCCATTGCAAAAGAATCCACAAGCATATCTAGGCCCAAATGTTCCTCTGAGCAGAATGGCTCTCACCTTTGAGCCATCTGTAAAATCAACAGAATGGTTAGCTGAGACACTATTGATCCACGTAGTAGACAAATTTGCAGTAGGATAATCAAAAGGCTGTCCATCTACTAACTGAAGAGAAAGAAGAACGGAAATAATTATAAAATTCCAACATTTTGGAAACATTTTCAGCAGTTCTTGGATAGCTGGAGGAGAGGGATTAAGGTCCTAGGAATAAGAGAGCTCCTTTTTGGAAATATAGCCTTCGGTGCAGAGACTGACGAAAGGATAATCGGAGTTATATTTTTGTTCCCTTCAAGCTTTCATTATAAAAAGTAGTATTCTATGATAATCAAACTTTTAATTAAACTCAAGTTATTTTTATTCCCTTCAAGTTAAGTATTATATGACAATCTAACTTTTAATTACATTTACTTAGGATTATTATAACATTGATAAGAGCAAACAATCATTAGTAGCTAGCTAGTATAGCTTTTAAATAGCAACTAATTTGTCTTTATGTAAATTTATGATAAACCAACCCCTAATGTAAGATTGATTTGAATTAAAAAAGAAAGTTAGAAAACTAACCCCAAAATGTAAGATCAAGAGTATTAGTTAAAAACAAACACAAAATGTAAAAATTTTTAATGTACTTGCTTATAATTGATCATATGATATTGAGAAAGGAATAATTCAAACAAATGATTTTAATTCAATAATTGATGTATTTGCGTTGCTAGGAAATAAAATGATTGGAGAGTCCAAATTTGATATCTTGTCTTTTACAACTAAAAACATCTTATTGTTAGTTATCGTACAACTTTCGTTTTAAATTTATTACACTTTATTTACTATAATATTGTTTTACTAGTAATAGATAATGTGCTCTGCATGTGATTATAATATCATAAAATATAATATTCTCATACATTAATATTGGCACTAGCTTTGCACTTGCCTTGATGATGATGAAAATAATGAAACATTATTTTTTTTCTAAATCAATAAATATGATATAATAAATTTTAAACATGATAATAAATTAAAAAGAACATAATATGAAACTTCAATAATCAATTAATAAAGGTATAATTGAAATAACAAAAACTAAAATTATAACAATGCTTACACTTACATTTTAAATGAAAATATCAAAATTCACCGTACTTTTTATATAATAATGATATTAATAATGATTATATGTGTGACAACAACAACAACCCCCCGACCAACCACAAACACAGAAAAAGACTTAAAATCTTGACCCGTCATTGGTTGGATGTGAACAAGGGATTAGACCACAACTGTTCAGAAGTTTCCTGCAGGCAGATCTAGCAAGTTTACTTTTTGATTTGTTGGGCAAATCTTTTCTGCAGACATGATGGTCAACTCGTGTAGGATCCATCTGAAGCTTCATGTTTTCCACAAGATATTTTCTAAAAAGGCAGCCTACTGAAAACCAGCTCAAGATATCGCGTGGTGCACGGATAAAAGGCAACCGAAACGCGTATGCCATTGACTGTGGTCTCGCTAGACACATTCAATGTTTTAAATTTATCCTCTCTGTTTTCCGTTCCTGTTTAGGGTTGATGCTAGACCGGGTAGCTTGACTCGGCTCGCAAGCAACTCGGTCAGCAGCTCGGCTCGAGCTCAATTTGACTGAGTTCGAGTTACTTGATAGAAGCAGCGAGCCGAGTTCAAGTTTTAATATTTTGCATTCGAGTCTAATCGAGGTTTTTATAATATATATTTTAATTTTTATTATTATAAAATGTCAATAATATCTTTTATTTAAAATTAGAGCAAATTATCCGGCTGGCCATTAAACTTTTGCGATCGTTGAGTTTTGGTCACTCAACTATTAAAAGTCTGGTTTTGGCCACTAAAATGCATAAAGTTAAAATTCGTGGCCATTCTGTTAGATTTGGCCGTTAAATTCACCGATCTGTCTGTCTGCACGATTTTCAAAACAAAATGCAGGGTTAATTTAGGAAGTTAAAAATAGCATCTTCTTCTTTAGGCCAAGTTCCTCAAGTTCCTTCCTCAAGCCCAGAAGCATTGGTGATTGAAGTGGGAAAGATTCCAGAGAAATTGTTTTCCGTAACAGCTATTAGTTTCAGATTTGGTAGGGTGAGACCCACATCAATTGGGAGATTGCCATGGAAGTCATGGTATGGAACTCCAAGTAGTCCTTCCTGCAACAGAGTCAAAGCTGCCGGAATGCTGACTCTCCTAGTCAATAGGGCTATTGAAACCAATCCACCCTAAGCAGCAGCCACCCAAGAGATCCACAAAGGACCGCCATACCAAAGTTGACGACCGAGGCAGGCGTATCCGAATGCCGGCTGCCTGTGCAGCTAGGGTTTTCCAGTTGACTCGAGAGCTAGGTCACAAGTCCGACGGCGAGACAATCAAGTGGCTTCTACAGCAAGCCGAGCCAGCCATAATCGCCGCCACCGGCACAGGAACCATCCCGGCTAACATTTCAACCCTCAACATATCCGTCAGGAGCAGCGGCTCCACTCTCTCTGCTCCTCCTTCAAATTAAGGAAAAAAATATAGGGAAGATTTGTTTAAAGAGGAAGGATCAAGCGGCCGCCAAGGAGACGGCGCAGATGAAACTTCCCCTTCTCCTTCAAATAAGCAATTCAAAGTAGGAGGTGGTGGTGGTGGCATGCAGATACTGGTGGCGTTGCAGATACGCTCCGAAATCTACTGGTGGCGTTGCAGGAGTGATGCCTGCGGTGGATGAAAAGGGTCTGACGAAGATTTGAAGAGGGGCAGGAAGAAGAACAACAATTTTTTAGAGAAGCATTGAATGCTATATTGAATTCCTAAATTAACCCTATCTTTTGTCTTGGAAATCGCGCGAACGGACGTATTGACGAACTTAACGGTTAAACCTAACAGAATGGCCTTATATCTTAACTTTATATATTTGAGTGGCCAAAACCAGACTTTTAATAGTTGAGTGACCAAAACTCGACGATGGCAAAAGTTTAATGGCCAACCAGATAATTTGTTCTTAAAATTATATGTAAAATATTAATTTTTATTACGTGAGTTTGATTAGGCTGGATTGAACTCGAATAAACTCGATTGAGCTTGATTTGAATTGATTAGATTTAATTAAACTCGAGCTCGAGTTCGAATAATGTAAATTGACGTCGAGTTCGAGTTCGAGCTTGAATTTTAAAAGTTCGACGAACTCGAGCTCAATCTCGAGCTTAATTATTTTACCTCGAATAGTGCTCGAACTCGACTCGACTCGAACGCACCCTATTCCTGTTCAAGAATAATCTAGCAGCCTAACACCCAATAAGAAACATAATGGCTTTAGACATTGGTTTTTCCAGCTTTTGACTAAATCAGCTCAGTAATTGAAGAACTTGTAATAGTCATGTTGACTTGTTCTATTTGTTTTAGTCGTTTCAATCTCTTTATTCGCAATTGTACTTCTTGTTCATAAGGTTTCGAACACAGACTGAGGTTAAGGATCATGATGGCTGAAAATTACAGAAAGATTCCCCTTGCGTTGACCTTCCTCAAAAACTTTCCAGGAATGGCAGATGATTACTTATTCAAGTGTACAGAATGAGTGTCTAAACTTGACGGAAAGGAAAAACAAAAGGAATACGGGGAGTCAGTTGTTTAAGCCTACTTCCCTTTCCTTATCAATCCAATGATGATAGATTGTAATTTTATCATTTATTTTATAATTAATTTTTTTTATTACCCGACCCAATGTGAATTAATTGTTAGATTCTACTCACTTTTAATATTTTATATTTATTTTAGGGAGTAGAACGAAAATATAATAATAAGTGTCAATTTAATAGGAAAGGAGTCCAAGTCACAGAGCTTACCCCAGGAGCATTGTTGGCAACGGAAAAACTTGGGCCCATTTCGGTAATTGCTGAGAAAGAAAGCAAGCCTGGGGAGTCTTCGTTTTCTACACAGGAGCCGCCACAAGTAGCAGTAGACTTTTTCAACATATCAACATAAGTAGATAAAGAGCGAAGAGCTCTGATGACCTGGAGTTTTTCGTCGTCCTCTCACGTGCCGCGCATGTGATTGAGACGTTGTTTTCTTCGCGCATCGCGCGCCTCTTCTCCTCTGCCGAAACCCCATGTGCCTCCTGCTGCGTTGTCTGCCTCTTCTTCCCACTGTCTTCTCTCTCTCTCTTTCTTTGGGCAATGTTGCTCTGTTGCTTATCCGACTATTCTGAGCCTTGGTACGAGAGCCTGTTGAGCTAACCGGTTATCTTCTAACCACGCAGGTATCAGCGAGCCTCGGTCTCTCGCGTTCTTTGGGTTGCTGTGTTCCAGGCATTTGGCTCTCCTCCTCTTCTTCCGTTGTGAGTTTTCTTCTTCTTCCTTTTCTTCTTTTCCGGTGAGGTGCAATTTTTCCCATTAGCTTTCTGCGTGAATCTTTAGCCTGGAACTGATGTTTTTGTTCTTTGTTCCCCTTCTCCAGACGCGCAAGGACCATCGAACCTCTGTCCCTCGCGTTTCACTGGGTCTCAGTCGTCCAGATCAGCTGCGGTGCGTTCGATTTTCCTTCTCCTCCTCCGTTGTAAGTTTCCTTGTTCTTCCTTTACGTTGAGGTGCGGTCTTCTCTGTTAGCTTCCCCTGTATTTTTTTTTCTTTATTTCTTTTTTCAACTGGCTCTTGTTTTGCTCTCGGGAAAGGTTCGATCTTGCCACCCGTTCGGATCACCTCCTCCTCCGCCGTTTGGATCGTGCTTCGTTGTGCCTCTCTCTGCATTTTTTAGCCTAGAGTTGCTATTTTTCCTCGAACCAGAGGTGTCTGTTCTCCGTCACAAGCTCACCGAGAAGGACGCCATCATCGCCGACCTTCAGTCCCTCGATGCCTCCCTTTCCGACGCTTCCGACAAACTCACCCTCGCTGCCCAAGAAAAGGTCCGATTCTTATAACCAACCCGACCACTTGAACCGTTTTACTTCTCCAATTACTACTTATAGCTCTAAGTTTTCTTCTTCTTCTTCTTCAAATGCTTATCTTTAGCCACAATCCCAACAGAAGAAGCAATACCCTCCATGTTAATTCTCTGCCCTAATGCAGCTTTCAAATCTACCCACCACATGTTTGTAAAAATACCCGAGTGGATCTCTAAATCACTATATGCTGTTTCTAGATATTCTCTTTTCTGGGTTCTCTGAGTTTCAATGGAAGAGTAAAAACTTTGTGAAAATGAGGTTTTTTCTGACATGGGTACTGGGGGTTTTTTGGGCTTTTTC